CCCCCGCCCCCGCCCCGTCCCCGCAGAGGCGCTGAGCGTGCTGCGCGCTCCGGCTGCCCCTGGGGTCCTTTCCCCCGTGCGAGTCACTTTATGGGACTAGTGATAATTTACTCTCCACCCTCTTTGTTGGCATAGGGATTCAGGCCAAAGTAAACTAGAAGCAACTCCAGGATTTTCAGGTCCGGCTTCCACAGGCAGAGCGAATTGGAGGAAGGAATCATGCAGAAATTCCGAGCCCGGACTTTGGGGTCTATAGATGATTGGGGTCTATAGATGATGGCTTTGCTTGCTTTGTTTTTTTTTTTTTTAAGATTGGCACCTGAGCTAACAACTGTTGCCAGTCTTCCCCGCCCCCCCCCTTCTTCTCCTCAAAGTCCCCCAGTACATAGTTGTATATTCTAGTTGTGAGTGCCTCTGGTTGTGCTATGTGGGATGCGGCCTCAGCATGGCCCGACGAGCAATGCTACCCCTGCCCCCAGGATCAGACCCAGCGAAACCCTGGGCCGCGAAACAGAGCGCGGAACTTAAACACTCGGCCACTGGGCGGCCCCAAGATGATGGCTTTTCTTGAGGCAGAGCGTGTTGTCCCCACCAATAGAGTGCGGTCCGGAAGGACCGGCGCTCAGCGCTGGATTTAATTGAGCTCCTCCTTGCGTGGTTGGCTATCGTGTCAATTTCCTCAATGAACAACTCTTTGGACGAAAGTATTGGACGACTGGATGAAAAAAATGTAAGGCACCATTTCTGATAGATTAAAACAAGTGTAAAGGATACTTAGGAAGTAAGGATAAGGATCTGTCTCCTATAAAAACTACCCTATTATTTGGGAGAGAACATCCACCTCCCCCGTATGGTGGTGGTGACCGTGTACTCGGAGCAGCACCTGGCTTGGGAAGAGCTCAATAAATGATTACAGCCACCACCTTGCCCCCCCGGAGAGCAGGACCGGCCTTCTGTTGGCTTCCCCCTTACAGAGCCCAGGTGCTGGGCATGCAGGAGGCACTCAACAAATACTCACCCACAGGATGAGAGCCTGGGCTTCCGCCTCTGCTCTCTGGACTTTACCCAGTCTGAATGTTATCTGACCACCAGAGCTTCCTGTTCTTTTGCCTTATTTTCAGGGTCCCCTCTGCCTGAGTCTTGAACTCCCCCCCAAGCGGAACCCAGTTGGCTGATGTTCCACTTATCTGAAAGGAGCAGACGGCAGGGTCTTCTCTCAGAATACTGCATTACTTTCATAGCCTATGTGGTTATATAATGTAAGATTCTGTCTCAAGACATATAAATACCAAGCATTTGGGGATACTTATTTCAGAATTACAAACGTATTATAACCTTTTAAAGCAGTAGTCTCCCCCCAGGATAGCGCTTTAAGCCATCCTTAAAACGGCTAAGAGCCTGGGATGCGGAAACAGGCTGCTGGGTCCTAATTCTGGCTCCATCGTCGTCTTAGCTGTGGGGCACTGGACAAGTAATGCAGTTCAACCTCTCCCAGCTTCAAATTCTTCTCTGTAGAATGGGAACGGAAACTCTATAGTTTCTGAGACTGTTACTGCTAAACGTCTGGAACAGCACCCAGCCCACAGGAAGCCTTCAGTACATGTTATTTTTAGCTATTGAAGATTACCGGGACCGGTTCTCAAACTGTGGCCTCTGAACCAGCAGTAACAACATCTGGGAACCTACCAGAAATGCAAACTCTTGGGACCTACACAATCAGACCTACTGCATGAGAAACTGGGGGTGGGGGGCGGGGAAGCCTCCCAGCGACTCTGCTGCCTGGTCACCTTTGAGAACCACTCACAGACTGATTAGAATCCTGCCCAGCTCTCTCTTCCTTCTCAAATAAGAGCCGGAAGGCAAATCCACGTTACCAAATAATAAGGACAGACTAAAGACCGAAAGTTAACTGACAGGATGGCTTGATTCTTCCTATATGTGAATAGTCACATAGAATTGACTAAAACTGGAGGTTTTAGTCAACTGTCACCTATTTTAGGAATGAAATACATGGAGTAAAATTAAATTAAGAGATTAGTCTAAAACTTAAATTTTGGTCATTTTTTTCCAGTGTTTACCCCACTAAACCTTGTTTTCTCATATAAATCATAGAAATATCAAATTTCTGGGACTCTGATTCCTACACTTGAGCGCCAACAAAGAAACGACTGAGTTGTCGTCGGCAAGGGGACTTTGTGGGACGTTTGGAAACCTAATCAACCTGAGGTGAAGCAGCATGACCTCACTGGGCTGCTGTGCAGACGACTCCACTGATCTGGTTTCAGTTATTTTCATGAATAACTGCTATTTAGTTATTTTTCATATACTGGTTACACCAATTCATTCTTGCTCTTTTAGTTATGATTTGGAAGATGACCGGTTTTGTAAGGTCAGGCAACGAGGAAAAACAGCAAGCCAAAGGGGCTACTTCAATTATCACAGGCAGTCATTACACAAGACCTGAACCAACATACTGCAGGGGGCACCTGTGAATTTTCAACGAGGCGAAGGGACGCAGGGGGAAGGGTCTCACCTAACGGGTTCCGTTCTACTCCCCAGAGTTACTGCAGTCAGCCTACTGAACACAGCTGTGTTCACAGAAAGACTCCGCTGTCTTCACTGTGTGGATGTTGTTCTTGTTTTGCACCAGGATGAAATAATGACCATTCTGACCTCCCGATAATCTTGTACTTCTATAAATACTGATAGAAATACCACCTTTTCATTTTAGGAGAATGAGCTATAAGCTAACAAAACAACTTTTTAAGGATTACTAGCCTAGACCGGTCTGGGGGTTCACTGAAGGAAAGGCTGCTCCAGAAGGTGTGTTTAATTTGCTTTTGCCCGCATATTTCAATTCTGTCTTCGTTACTGCTTCTCTGTGCCTCAGTTTCTCCACCTATGAAATGAATACAGCCATATATGTCCCTGGAAGAAGTGTCAAAAGATTTTAAACAGACAGCAATATTTACAGGTAATACAGTTTTATTACTTTAAAATATCAATATCACATTTCTTGTAAAGAGCTGCTAGTTTTGGGGGGCATTTTGCTTGTTTTTAAATTTTATTCTGTGGCTAGGGAAAATACCATCCCTAAATCTAAATATATGCCATGTGGTACAGGATTTGAGTGAGGACATCAGTACGAACTCATGCTCAGCTTAATATATATACACATACAGAAATAATTACAGATATGCACACATCCATGGGTTCATATACACACTCATTTCCTAGCTCTGTCTGCTGGGCGGGTCTGGAAGCAGTGACTCCTCAGGAGCAAGGAGCGCATCCCAGTGCCCAGATCTTGGTGTCTAAGTCCCACTGGAAACCATTCTCCAAGGAAGGGAACCAGGGCTCCCTGGAGAAGAGGCTGATTCGAGGGCTGGGGCTATACAAGATGAGCCTGAACCAACTTTCCTACTTTCTTGTTAGAAAAGCATGGAAGTGCTCAAAAATCAAAAGGATGGGACACGTCAAAGACACAGGAGCCAACCTGACATAACTCCCAATAGCCAAGCCGGAACGACTGAGCAACAAAATAAATATTACCCAAGGTATAAAAGAAATACACGAGTCCATACTGATATAAATAATTGAATAAATAAACGGGCGAGAGAGAAATCTTTCTTAAAGAAGAGTTCCAAGTACTACATAAAGACACTCCCCCTTCCAGGAGGCGGAACATAAATAATCTTGCCCACCTCCCACCGACTGCACTTGGTGACAGGCTTCCAAAGAACAGAAGGATGGAAAGGGACACAGTGCCTCTACATGGAGGACCCAACAGACACCACCTGACCCAGCGCCCAGAGTTAACACAAGCCCACAGCATTCAACGCTGATACGATGCGGCCAGAAGAACCTTTCAGCCGTGGTTTTCTTCCTAAAAATCCATGACCCCAGTTCAATCATGAAGAAAACATCAGAGAAACCCAAACTGAGGGACCGTCTACAAAACACCTGACCAGTCCTCCTCAAAACTGTCACGGTTATGAAAAACAAGGAAGGACTGAGGAGCCGTGACGTGAGAGCAGAGCTAATCGGACCCGATGACCAAATGCAATGTGTTTTCCTCCTGGGTCCTGAGGGGAAAACCAGTACAATCCAAGTCAAGTCTAGAGGTTAGTTAACAGCCATCACCAGTGTTGGCTTCTTAACAAATGTTTCACAGTTCCGTAAAACGTTAACGTTAGGGGTAAGTCTCTATACTATCTTTGCAACTTTAGTGTAAATCTAAAATGATTCCAAGTTAACAAGTTAAAAAAACAAACATGTTAACATATAAAAACAGCTTCTACTGATTTCTGTATAATTTATAACCATGAATTAAATATTTTACAAAAACATTTTGAGTGTGTCCTCTCCAGAAAGTCAATGCTGCCAAGAAAATCCATGAATTTATGATGTTACCTTTAATTTATTAATTCATCATGTCAGGTATTTCAATAGTAAATATTGATAAATATTAAATATTGATAATGGCTTATAAAACTGTACCTTTTTAAAAGTCTGAAAAGTATCACTTAAGGGTTCTAAACATTTAAAGTGGAGGCCAGTTTGCTCATTTGCTCACCTGGCCATGAGGGTTACACTCGCCTTGTCAGACAGAGGACACGCCTCTGAGCAGAACAGCTGCCACGTCTCAGTTGGTGAGCTACTGGGTTCTCAGCAAGGAGAGATACTCCATTACAAATGTGGCCCTTTCTCCAGAAAATATTTTTCCCTCTTCCCAGGTCTGCCTGTAATGACTTAAACAGAACCACTTCCCCTGTTCCTGTCTTCCTGACTTTCCAAGCAGTTTTTCTTAATAACTTTGGTCAAAGGTTACCCAAAAGATATATACGCTTGGGATCCTGGGCTGTAACCCATAACCCATACAATGCTCTGATGTGTGTTAAACAACTTTTCATTGGTCTCATTAAATCCATCTTTTCTCCAATTTAGGCAAAGGTTGCAGCAAAAGACGATATCTGTCATATGAGTGGTTCATAAATTGGGAGTGGCTGTGCTTCCGAATTTGGTTTGCATCACCTTCTAGGCACACTACATATACCTAGATACCCTGGATTTTGGTCCCCAAGAGGTCACCAGCTGATGGTTCCAATTTTACAAGAGAAACAGACATGGAAACCTTGTTCTTGTAACTGGTCCTGTCATTAAAGAAGTATGACATTCATATACTCAATGGGCTACACAAAACGAGTCGATTATGTGTTAATTAAAACAGAGAAAAAATAAAGTCAGATCCTTCCAGGCATAAATGTATACTTGAAATTTTATAGTAAACAAATATACTTCTAAGTGAAGACCTCCTGATATTTCCAAATAAAATAATGTTGAACATACTATTTGATGAATTTTACGTTGACCTCATTTTTTGGGTAAATATGGTTGTGAAAAGTGAGTTACAGACTCTTTCTTTCAAAATTCTCCCCTTAACACGCACCTCTTTCTGACACTGGTCAAGACAACAGGGCCCACTGGGAGCAACATCCAGGAAGATAACCTCCCCTTTTTTCTTTAGTTTGAAGTTTTAATGTCAAAACAAGGTCTTAAAATAATCCTTTCACAAAAATAAGGCGGTGTTATGCTGTAAAAACATTAGTTCTTTGTCACTGGGTACGTTCCTCCGTCCTCAACCGCTATCACCACCTGTCAGCATCTTCTTTAAAGATCAGTTTTCTCTTCATAGCGACACCTACACGCGGCACGCTGGCTGTCCAGGTACGGCTTGCAGCCTAAGTGGATGACACTGTCAAACAGGAGCTCCACTGTTGTCTCACAGGCTGCAAAGCAAGAAAGCGCCGTTAGTGCTGGGCAGATGCAAACCGTCGCGCTCTTCACGTGCACGGTAGGAGACAGCACGGCATCCAGCGTGTCCTCAGTGGGCACTTAACCCTACGTCAGGTTTTGAAAGGCCTCCCAAACCCTGCAAACCAGTAGCGTATACAAAGTTTCAGTTTCAGCCTCTCTGCCACATATCTACTTCTTGTTTGCATGCAACTGTTCAACCCAACTTTTTGCGTTAGACAAACTAGTGTCTCTCTCCATAGCACTGAGCAGGTCATCACTGTTCATTTTCTTTTCATCTGAAAAATATCACCAAGAGAGATGCCTGATAACACTAGTAAGTTTGCACTTGAAGGAAAGATTTTTAGGTGCAGAAGAAATGAAGGTTAAAAACAGAAACCTCAAAACATTTAATTATGGCCAACGGATTCTAAGAACTGACCACACATTATTTAAGATGCTTAAAGTAAATGGGCCCTAGTCTCTTTCTTTGACTACTACCCAGATTTGGCTTGGGAGGGGAGACAAAGGAAGCAAAGGTATTTTTCCTCTGGTATGCTTTTTAAATTTTTTTTTAATTTCTTAAGAGACCTGGAACACCCAGGTAAGATGATCTCAATACACGACCCTTAAAGAGACATACCAGACCGCCTTTTAGTTGTTCAAATACTTCCAATTTCAAATATTCATGTTAAGGAAGAAACTTTTCATTACAAAATCTTGACACTTTCAAAGTTCTCCCAAAGACTTTGCACACTAAGGAGCACAACCACCCACAGAAGTGGAAAGGCGGTGACGATTCCGTGGGAGACGGACAGGAGATTGGTCTCATCGTCTAGCAACACCACCGTGTCCTTAGCTCAGAAAACAGGAAGCATATCCATCCACGCTTCAGCTGGACAACCAGCGCACTTCAGCGGAAAGCACGCAAGTGACTCAGAGGTGCTGAGTTCCAGCTTCTCCTGGAGCAGATTTCTCACTTGACAGCTATAACTAGGATTTCAGAATCACACCTATAATATGAGACTATCTGGGGAATACTGTAGTTGACAGACATAAGCTTTAGAGTCAGAAGTGCATTACCTGGGGCAAGTTACTTCTTTCTGAATGTCAGTTTTCTTCCTTGAAAAATGGGTATAATGCCACCTACTTCTTTGCATTTCTGTGAACATCCATGGAAACATGTCTAAAGCATCCAGCACAGCGCCTTATGGGAAGTGCCAAAAATGTTAGTTTCTTTCCTGCCCCTTCCTTCTCATCACCCCTTCTCTTCTGACTTTAGGTATGTGACAGTACAGAAATCTTGTGGCCAAGAGTATCTGCACAGGGATTTGTATCTCCAGCACTATTTCATCTTACCCTCAGGACAACTCCGAGATGGATATTACCATTCTCGCTTTATAAACGAGGACACAGAAGCCCCTGTTCCTTTACTGTCACCATGTATCCCTTTATCGTCACCACGTCAGTCCTCCTAGCAAAGCACTGAACCTTGGGGGGGGCCCTCCTGACAGAGATACCTATGAAAAGACAGAGTTAAGACTCAAATCTTCTAGAATATCCTACTCCAAATCCAATGTGCTATCCTCTTAAAATTCACTGGATCCAGGGTTTCAAAGCTTCCAACTCCGGATAGTTAGAGAAACACTTCAGGGTACAAGATGTTGGATGAATTCTTCTCCGCCTCACATACCCTCCTCCTAAGGTTCTCTAACACTTTTTACTTCTGTGACTATAAATCATTTTAGATTACAAAATCCTTAACTCCTCGTGTCAGAGAATAGAAGGGCCGTGCACAATAGATAAGGTAAGATACAGTGGAGGACTTCCATTGGTAAACCCTGTACGAAGACATGAAGCATCCAATAAAGCTTTACAAACCGCACTCGGGCCGCCCCGGGTCACCTCACCCTGCACGTGCTGAGCCAGGCCCAGTGTCTTCTGCACTCGGGCCGCCCCGGGTCACCTCACCCTGCACGTGCTGAGCCAGGCCCAGTGTCTTCTGCACTCGGGCCGCCCCGGGTCACCTCACCCTGCACGTGCTGAGCCAGGCCCAGTGTCTTCTGCACTCGGGCCGCCCCGGGTCACCTCACCCTGCACGTGCTGAGCCAGGCCCAGTGTCTTCTGCACTCGGGCCGCCCCGGGTCACCTCACCCTGCACGTGCTGAGCCAGGCCCAGTGTCTTCTGCACTCGGGCCGCCCCGGGTCACCTCACCCTGCACGTGCTGAGCCAGGCCCAGTGTCTTCTGCACTTGGGCCGCCCCGGGTCACCTCACCCTGCACGTGCTGAGCCAGGCCCAGTGTCTTCTGCACGTCCCGGCAGATCTTTGAGAGGCAATCCTGGAACTCCTCATCGCAGTCGTTCTTGCTTTTGCCGCAGGTCTCATAGCAGCGGTCGTGCTGGTTGCAGCACTTCGTCAGGGAGGGGATGCCGATGTTAAGCTGAAAGAGGCGTGTGGATGCATGACTGGTGGGGAAATTCCAAGCTCCTCTGCTGAAGCACCCCGCACTCGCAAAGACGGAGAAAGGAGACGGCGACTGCTGTACAGCTCACTTCCCACGTCCAATCTGCCCACGAACGTTTCCCACGCCACCCTCTCTGCATCACTGTCCTCCGTGCCATCCCCATCAGTCCGTGCTCTCCCCCTCAGCCGTGCCCCAAAGCTGCCTATTTTGCAGTGTTGAATATGCAGTTACCTGCCGCTAACAGACCCAACTCCCAATCGTCCAAAACACAAACCATAGTTTTAAAAACAGAAAGGTAAGGCTAGGAGCATAGAAAAGATTCCTCCAGGGGTTGAGCAAGCATGGTGTTTGGATATTCCAAGTACTTTGCACCTCCTCCCCCAACAAAATGTACTTTATATGAAATGTTACAGAAAACCTTTAAGCTCCTACAACTCCAAATTTTGTTCTTGTGATTTAATCTCTCAGTGTTCGTCCATTCCCTAGAGATCCCGTTCCTTCCAATCTATAACTTATCTGTATTTTAAATAGCTTTATACTGAAAACTCATGTCCAGGAATCACTCTCATAAACTTTTTCCTCATAACACTTGGCTCAGATCCAGCCTCCCCTACAGCAAACACACAGCCACCCTGCTCAGCCTGGTTTTAATATAGAAAATATTATGCTTTATCTATACTTTTTGTCCTAAGTAGTACTATTTATATCTTCCAAACTTTTAAACCATGTTTGTCACATTAGAAAATATCATGTAAATGGTATTAACATCTACAAGATTAAAAAATAAAACATGAATTGTACTCCCTTTAGCTTTGCTAGGATTTATTAAATGTTTTAGCTATAAAAGAATATAATAAACCTGATCACTGTTACAACAAGCAAAATTATTTGTGAACCTGAGAACATAATGATAGTCTTGCATTATCAAGTATTACACAGCCTACCAATCATAAAACTTAGCAGATGAAAAATAATACTTACATGAACACCAAACAGTGGAGAGCCACATCCATTTGGTGGGGAGGGTTTATAACCATAACGTGGGACAGGCTTAGATCCTATAAAATAGAAATGGTATCATGATTAATTTTCAACATGATAGAAAATACATATGCAAAAAAGCAAACAATGTGCTAGACCAGCCTTTGAAATATTTAACATTGGGATGCTGACATAAGTGAATATGTCTTTATTCTGATGAGCATTAAGAATGCTAACTTGTCTACCTAATTATTTTTATTTCTCCTGTGCTGAAATAATGCACGAATGGACACACAGACACATATATGGAGGTTCATAAAATGTATGGGGGTTCATAAAATGTAATCATATTTGTAAACCCATACCATACAAATACACAAAAGCTTATCCTGGACTTCTGGAGATTTCAGAGGTTACATGCCAGACTGGGTCCATATACAGGAAAGATAAATGCACCCTGTTTTCCTGAACATTCTAAAACTTCTATTTTTAGGTTAAAACCTATAGGGCAAGAAGTGTATCTTCCCAACCTTGAGCCAATGCACCAATGCACACAAACCTCAATGACTATCAACTAACCAGTGTACTCTGCCAGAGCCTACAGCTAAGGAAGACAAGGTCATCCGATGACCATCTAATTACCATTATAAGGCATGACGGGACCACACATTCTAGTCCAGACTCTAGCCAACCATTTCACAAATATACTCTTTTACCAACTAAGGAGAAAAGTCAGGAATAAAGATAGCTTGGTGAAATACATTACTCCAGTTATAGTCTCCCTAATAGCACAACGATTCAGTAACGAAAAGAGATGACATCACAGCAATCCCAAATGCTGGAAGGTACCCCAGAAATATCCCTCCTCGTGTCATACAGAAATCACAGCACCATATGGAACAGTCACCTACCCTCTCTCTGAATGTTTCCCACAATCCTCCTAAAATATCAAGAAACAGCCTATTCCACTGCAGAATGGCACAAACCATTAAATTCCTTTTCCTGTTTTCTTGTAAATTCTACTGTAAGCAATCCTCTACCCACCAGGCAACAGAAAACAACTCAATTCCCTATTTTATATGATAATCCTTTCAAACATTTGGGGCTACCATTTATCTTTACTTCTAAAAAGAAAATATCCCCAGTTATTCCAAATACCACCCGGCAGTTGGATACTTGAGAGACACAAAGTACTTCAACTTTCATTCAACTAACATTTATTACTAGGAGACTTAAACAAAGATAAGTTTACCCTCCAAAAGTGAAGTGAGGGGGAGAAAAAAGCAACCCTTCCAGCAACCAGCCAGCAAAATAAGTAACCCACTCCAGGTAATCATGTAAAAATGGTTTGAGGGAATTGCTAAGATTCACAGGCTCCACAAAGGCGAGTGGGCCGAGCCTCAAGGGAGTAGCCCCACGAAGGAGGAGAGTTACAGCTGCTCCACCCCGTCCGAAGAGCACTGTGTGCAGAGGGAACGGTTACGGTGGACCCAGGAACGAGGAGGACGACAACAGAAGCCGGGCTTGTTTGTCCAGCGCTGTCCAAGGAGGACTGTTCTGGGCCCCTGGAGATGAAGGTAAATGCCTCAGGCCATCAGAAGTGAGTCACTGTGATCCTTCAATTCCGCCTTCCGTCCTTCAGTCTGAAGAAAACTGTTCATGATTTAGCTTTCCACTTGAAAGGGCCTTCAGAGGGAGGATATAGTAACCATCTGGATGTCTACTGAGCACCTCAAACTTAAGATGTACCTCCTGACATTCACCTCCAAACCTGCGCCACCCACAGTTCCCTCTTCTCAGGTAAGAGCAATTCCATCCTTCCAGGTGCTCTGGGAAAAAGTCTTAGCCATCTTTGACACTCTCATTTTCTTATATCCCACATCCAATTCAATCGCATGTCCTGTTGACTCCACCTTCAAAACAGCAGAATCTAACCACTTCTCACCACGTTCACTGCGGCCATCCTGCCTCACGCCCAAGGTTACTGCCATAACCCCCCATCCTCCTTACTCCGGTTTCCGCACTCCGCCCTACCTCCGGCTAGAGTCCAACCTCAACACTGAATCTGAGGGATCCTATTAAAATGTGTGTTAGGTCAAGTCTTTCCTCTGCCAAAACCCATCCATGGCTTCTCACCTTATTCAGAATAAAAGCAAAAATCCTTCCCACATCTATAAGCCCTATATAATCTACACCCCCGCCCCCATCTTGTTCTGACCTCGTCTCCTTACTAGTCTCTCTCTTCACTTCCTTTCTTCCTCACTCCATCTGGTCACATCTGACCTCTTTGCTGTTCCACAGACACTCAGGTCTGCTTTTCCTCTGTGTGGATGCTTCCTCCTGGTAGCTACACAGTTACTCCTCTACCTTCTCAGCAAGGCCTTCTCATTTGTAGCACATATGACCTTTGAACACACTATACCACTAACCTACATATTTCCTTTCTCTCTCCCCATACTAAAGTAAAAACTCCTTGAGGGCGGGAATTTTGGTTTGTACCCCCAGTGCCTAGAACAGTGCCTGGAATATGAATATGGTTAGGTTCTAATAAATATTTGTTGATGAATGAATGAATGAATGAATGATTGAGCGAGCAGAGGACCTGGAAGGCCGATTCTGATAGCAGCTACAATGCTCATTATAAATAGATAACCTGGTACTGCTGTCTACCCTAGGTCTCTCTTGAGCTTGGTGAGCACTCATCAGTCTCCGAAGCCCGATGGCCTCAAGTCTCTCACATCTCTTTAAAATGGGGCAGCCCAAACAGAACCCCATTAGGTATGGTGGGCCTGTTTTGAGCTGGATAACGTACTTGTATTAATACAGCCTAAGACAGTTAGTATATGTTTCAGCTATCTCACTGTTGAGATACATCAGACACCAGGAAAAATACATCAGTTCTTTAGAAAATAAATTCTTTAATATCTACTGCTAGAGGCTCAGAACTTCTGAAATTTAGTTTGTGAGCCTAAATACTAGATTGTAAAACTCTGTCCTCTTAGTTTTAGTACATCATTCAGGACTATTCAACATCTAGAGCTATTCACCCAGCGTTACTTGCTGCTCCCAGATATTCACGAACTTGAGACACAGATGTCAGCCAGGACAGAGCTCCACAACACCCCCCGATAGATGAGCCTTCTCTACAAGCAGCCACGATGTCATTAACCCAACTCTTTGGGTAGACCACTCAACCAGCTGTGACTTCACCTAAGTCAAGTTTTATCCAGCCTACATTTTCCATGGGAGTATTATTAGAAATTAAGCACATGACCAACGGCTTTCTTTGTCCCACCACACTAGAAACTTCTTCACCAAAAGGGAGGGAGGCTGGATCAGCATTATATTCTTAGAGAAGCCATTCAAGCACCTTGAAGCTTCACCACCAAGCTCTCTCTAGTCAGTGGTTTTAACAATCAACTGTTTAAAATGTTTAGAAATTTATCTAGCAATAGACATGAAGCAATGGGTCCAATTTTTAATCTTAAAACCAGTACAATAAATATGGCAAAGAGTGTTCAAAAAGTCTGCAGACAGGAAAAATAGTGTATCTACTGCATGTATTTTTCAGGTTAACAACTAGACTTACTGCTTTAAATTCACAAGCGTATCACCAGAAGAGGGGTCTAGAGGTTGACACATTTGGGGCATATTACTTGGAAAACTAACCAACCAGCTGTTTAGCCTGTTTCCAACTTTTTGGATGCCCTGCACATGCCCCTCTGCCAGTCTGGATTTCTGGCACCTCTCCCTTTTCTGCGAGGACCAAAGATTACCACCCTCAGACAACTGAGACGGGCCTGGAGTTCTAAAGGTATGTGGGTTTCTAATCTCCTCAAGTATCTATTTATCAGGAAGATACTTCCCGCGATGTTGTATATTCATACAACAGTAGTACTTTTATTTCCCTTCTCTTTGTATTACATATAAATCCATGGACTTTTTTCCGATTTCAAGCCTATAAAAACACTTAACATTTTTCTGTGAGTAATGATAGTGATACATGTATGTGTGTATGTTTTAACATATATATATATTTTCTCATTTTGTAAAAGGTAATTACCTTTGAACTGGAGAATGATCAGAAGCAAATAAAGAATGAAGTTTGGGGGAAAAAACCCCACAGAAAAACCCATGCCCACTAGAGGAGGATAAAGAGGAAGAGAGAGAATCCAGAGAATAAGCTGACAAAAAGGAAAGCAGAGGGATGAGGACGGAGGAGGTCATTGTCTCAAACAGGGCCAGTGCCTACAACTGCCCTGTGGAGAAGCTGATAACACAGAACAATAACCCAGACCTACAGCAGGAGAAACCGCACAGTAACACGATGAAATAAACGCTGGTAAACCGGCTCCTCAGCACAGGCAGCAGAAGGGGCCCATGTTTGGTTTTTGCTTCTTGTGCTAATGTCACTTCCTCACAGAGGCCTTCCCTGCTCACTCCATCTAAAATAGCGCCCCTTCCCTTCCACATCCATTCTATACACCCTTGGTTGGCTTTACTCTTCTTTCTTTTATCAACCAAATTAACATAATGAGTCAGTTTCTACAAGGACAGGAACTTTGTATTGCTTACAAAGAAGATGCCAGGTACACAGTGGGCACCCAAGAAACTACAGGATGAAAAAAATGGGAAGCACTCCTTGCTGAAATTGTTCTATATCCTCAGCAAAACAACAGGAGAAACAAAAAACCCCAGAAAACTGGGAAGTAACTGGTTTCCTGAAATATTCTAAGTGCTTTGAAGTTCTAAATTCACCTTTAAATTGAAATAATTATTTCTGAACAAGATACAATATATAGAAAGTTGTTTATTAAAGATTAAGTTGATACAGATAGCAAAATTACAAACGTATTAACATTATTTTAAATGCTGTTACAGATGGTGTTATAAGCTGCTGAACATTAAACAAAATTTAGCATTTCTACTGATGCCAGTTTACAAAGCGCTATGACCTGAACCGTGTTCCCCCCGAATTCCTATGTTGAAACCCTAACCCCCAATGTATTTGGTGACGGGGCCCTGAGAGGTCATTAGGTTTAGATGAGGTCGTGAGAACAGGGCCTCATGATGGGAT